TCAGGGGGTATAAAAGCTACTAAATGTCCACTAGAACCAACATTTGGCCCCTCTAACTTTCTTATTTTCTACAAACCTTTGGGACCTCTAAAGGCACCACTTAGATTCTTCTTTGAGAAGCTTCTCCTAAAACAAACTGTCCTAGAAATTAACTTTTTAAGGACCTTTCCATGGTCCACCTCAGGGGGTATAAAAGCTACTAAACGTCTACTAAAACCAACATTTGGGCCCTTGTTTTCAGCCCCAGAAAACCTCCTTTTCTGAGGATAAACTGCGTATAAATGTAGGTTTTGTTTAGCCGATGAGGTCATGGCTGGCTAACAGAGCCCCTATTGAGGGCTGCAAAGCGCCTTTTATTCTTATTATTCTGGCCCCAAAAAAGCATTTGGTGGATTCAAAACAACAACAATTAAATAAAAATAATTTAAAAAATTAAGTTATCTAAAAATCTTTAATTATTTATAAAAATCCAAATTTATTTTGAATTAGTAAAATAGTAAGAAAAGATATTCTGGGGGTCTAAAATTATTTTATTGGGCTGAAATGTTTTTTGGGGTCCAGAATAAAGTAATAAAGTCATTTGTGTTGGTTTTGTACGGCTCATTTTGTCCAGGAAAAAAACACATAGGTATGTCTTGAATCTGGAAAAAAATCATATTTTATTTATAACTAAAGAAGGTTCAGTGAATGCATCTGAGACTGGAGGTTCAGGACCTCAGAAAGGTTAAAAAAACACAAATAAAAAGAGTTTCAGGGGGCTTAAACCAGACCTTTGGGAAGAAGTGTGGCTTTTTTATGCTAACTAGCAGCCAGCTAGCATAAGAAACCTTTGATTTACTCAGAAAATATTACTCTTTCTTCCATTTTCTGTCCAGAATGGTCAGGACTCTGACTCCTAACAAACCAGGAGGCGTCTGGTTGTAGTTTCCACCTGGAAGACGGACGAAAACCAGCAGCCAGAGGCAGAAAAAGAGGAGAGCATCACCTGATGTGTGAGGATGGAGGAGCCCACAATGAGGAACTAAACACTGGTGGGAAAACAACGACTTCTCTGCCAGACAAAGGACACCAGAACCTCTGTTATGATGCCTAAATACACCTATTTACCAACATCCGAAGTGAAATTTGATCAAATATTCGACTCAACACCAAAAGTAAATTTCCTACATAAGACAAAGTCATTGGAAAAAAAATAAATAAATAAAATAAATAAAAAAAAATATATATATATATACATATATATATGTATATATATATATAAAAATTTAATAAAAAAATACGTACGCTAAGTTAGTTTTAAGTTAACGTCATGTGAGTTAGATAAAAAAAAATCGGAAAAATACTTAAAAAAAAAATATATATATATATATATACTGTATATATCAAAATTAAATAAAAATAAATAAGTTGGTGTTAAGGAAACGTAATGTAAGTTAGATTTTTTTGTTTATCAGAAAAATATATATAAAATTAAATACAAATAAATAAGCTAGGTTAGTTTAAAGTAAACGGAATGTAGGTTTGATTTTTTTATTATTATAAAAATACAAAAATAATAGAAACATTTAATTAAAAAAATAAGTATGCTAAGTTAGTTTTAGGTTAACATTATGCAAATTAGATTTTAAAAATTCTGAAAAATTGGGTAAAAAATGTATATAGCAAAATTAAATAAAAATAAATAAGCTAAGTTAGTTTAAATTTCAGGTAGTAATGTGAGAGTAAACTCACTGTATCTCAGTCTCTACCTGCCAATAAAAACCCTTTTTATTGATTATTTCTTTATCATTTATTTCTTTTTCCATCTCTCTTCTAGAAGCCATTTGTTTTCTTGCTATGTGTAATTATCTGCAGTATTTATTAAGGAGTTATCGTAGGTTTTTGGAACCAATTCTAGGAATTACAGAGTATTCTGATGGAAATATTTGAACCAAAATACCAATATTTTTACAAACAAAGTCGCTCCTGGAACCAATTAAATTCGTATGTAGAGGTTCTGCTGTATTGGCCAGGAAAAAACAAACAAAGGGGACGTCAATATGCTCAAAGAAGTGAGTCAATACTGTGAGGTAAGAGGCTGTTTTCCCCTGATAAGGTCAGATATCTAAAAAAAAAAGTGGAGCTCTTTTTGGGAACCGAGACCCGGGCGGGACCCACCGATGCCGCTGACCTCCTGGCGGCCGCTCAGGCGGCTCCTCTCGTCGGCTATGGCCTTCAGCATCTCCCGCAGGGACCCGTCCGGTTCTCCGTTTTCCTCCTCCTCCACGGGCCCGACGGCCTTACACAAACCGGGGAAGGACGCCATCTCCCAGCCGGGATCATGACAGTCCGCACCGACGGTTCCGGGTCACGGACACCGGGGATCCCCCCCCCCCCACCCACCCCCGGTTCCTCCGCCTGCTGGGTCCGGAAAAAGGCTCCCACCGTGGGGACGCGGGGGTCTGGTGAGCGGTCTCCGCTCCGGTCCGGACCTCCGGTTGTGCGGATCAGCTGGAAACACCCCTCACACTTCCGGTAACAACACGAGGCTCTTAAAGAGACAGAGCACCGGTGGAGAGAAGAGGTCCGTTACCCGTTATGTCCAGGGACCGGGGAGGCCCGCTTGTGCCTGATCATAAATCACCCCCAAACACAAAACACACGCTGTTAAATAGCAGGACTTTTTTATTCTTTACCTAATCAAAACACAACTAACTTGAAAATGAACTGACGCTATTTAGAGTGCCAGCAAAAAAGAAAAATGGGGGAAAAAAATATTTTAAAGCCTTTTAGTCGAGTTTTTTATTATTATTTTTTTTATAGTTTTGCGAAAATTATTCAAAATCAAACAAGCCTGTTGGAAAAAAAGCATTTTTCCAAAGATAAATTCTTAAAATCCAAAGTAGCTCCAGAAAACACTAAAAATGCCAAAAAAAATACACATAAATTCAGCCAAAATATCAGCTGAGATTGAAATAAAGAAGACCTTAACTGTTCTTTTCATTTAAATCTCAGTTTATAATTAATCATTATAAAAAGAATACACATAAATTCAACCAAAATATAAACTGAGATTGAAATAAAAAAGACCAGTTGAGGTCTATTTCATTTAAATCTCAGCTTGTATTTTGTCCAGATTTATGTGTATTATTTTAAATAAAAGGTTTTAATCATTTACAACTCTGTTATTCTTCCCTCTCCGGTAAAGTAGCTGTGGCACAACAGGCTTCCGGTACCTATTGGCTGAGGAATCAAACGCTCCTGGGCTGGATTTCTTTGTAAAACTGATCCGGAGACAAAACAAAACAAACCCCTTCAGTAACCAAACCCCCGACAAACATTTAGTTTGGCCCAATCTTTCACCTTTATCGTTTTAATCGATCGTTGTATTAATATGGGAGGGAGTTATTTGACGGTTAGAAAAAAAAAACAGCATTCTATCTCAGACGTTTAAAACGGTTTGAATGAGGTCAACCGTCATAGCGTCGGCAGTTGGATTTAAAATGGAAATTAAGTGTTTAAAATGCTGTAAATCCGCGATTAAGCCGGTTAAACTGACCCGGAAGTGTCTTATTAACGATGCGGGTGTCAGAATCCAACGTAACACTAAACAGTTCCCGCCTGGACGGCGGCTCCTTCAGAAGTTTTAACCGAGCGCACCCTGTCTTTCAAGACAAAGGATGACGTCACCTTCCCAAGCGCTCGAGGAGGCCGGAAACTGGAATGAATTTTAATTCTTTTTTTTATTTTTAAGGCACACATACTCGGATCAGACGGACAGAAGGTGGCCGTTAACGTGCCTGTGTAGAAATAAATTCACTTTATGAGCCAAAAAACTGAATGTTTTAATAAAAAACAACATTATTCTTAATATCCCTCTAAAAATATAATAAATATGAGCACAGGGTCCAGGGTTTTGACTGGCTTGGGCCCAATAAACACTCATGAGAACCCACTTTTGGGCCTTAAGGCATCAAACCTGTGCGTCACAAAGCAAAGCTGGCTTTATTCTCAGATTACAAAAGTTCACTCGCTGGTTTTGCTGAGCGAAAAGCAGCACATGATCATTTGGTCTTTTGCAGAAGCTTTCAGGAGCGAGAAGCAAAGCAGAACTCCAGCTCCCTCCTTCCTGGTTCCACCTTCCCTCTAGGGGAGCCTGTCAGCACACCTGTAGGCCACGCCCACACCTGTAGACCACACCTACAGTTGTAGGCCACGCCCACACTGGTAAGCCACGCCCTTACATGTAGACCTAGCCCACATATATAGGTCACGCCTCACACCTGTAGGCCACACCTACACATACGGGCTACACTCACACCTGTGGCCACACCTGAACTTCTAGGCCACGCCCACACACGTAGGCCACACCCACACTGGTAAGCCACGCCCACACCTGTAGACCACACTTACATGTGTAGGTCACCCCCACACTGGTAGGCCACGCCCCACGTGTGTAGGCCACGCCCACACTGGCAGACATAGCTCCCACCTGTAGGCCACACCTAAACTTTTAGGCCAAGCCCACACCTGTAGACCTAGCCCCACAGCGGTAGGCCACGCCCACACAGGTAGGTCACGCCTATACATGCAGGTCACGCCCACACCTGTAGACCACACCTAGACTTGTAGGCCACACCCACACATTTAGGTCAAGCCCACACTTGTAGACTACACTTGTAGGCCACGCCCACACATGTAAGTCACGCCCACACTTGTAGGCCACGCCCCATAATGGTAGGCAACACCCCCACATACAGGCCACGCCCAACACGTGCAGGTCACGCCTACACTTTTAGGTCACATCCACACCTGTATACCACGCTTACATTTTTTTAAGCCACACCCTAAAATGCAAGCCACACCTACACATGTAGGCCACGCCCACACCTGTACACCACGCCCAACACATGCAGGTCACACCTTCACTTGTAGTCCAAGCCCACACCTGTAGGCCACACCCACATGGTCGGTCACACCTACACATATAGGCCACGCCCATATATGTAGGCCACGCCCACATGGTCCCACCTCCTTCAAAAACCACCGTTCCTCCACTTCCTGTTTGCTTTATTGATCAGTCCTGGAACCACCGGCCCCCTTCCTCCCCCCTCCCTGCCCCCCCCCTCAGATGAAGCCCCGGCGGACGTCGGTTGGGCGCCCCCCCCCCCGGCGGGCGGCGGAAGCTGAATCGGGGTCTCCCGGCGGGGTCGGCGATGGGGCCAATGGGGTCCCGGCGGGGGCGGGGCAGCAGGCCCCGGGGCAGCGCCGGCCGCTGGTCGTGCTCCCCCCCGATGATGCCGGGCAGGGGGGGGAAAAGGGGGCGGGGCACCGGGGTGAAGATGTCCCGGTCCGGGAACGGAGGCAGAGAGCGGTGACGCAGAGCACGCCGGAAATCACTACGACTCCGGTGAGCGTTTTTGTAGAGCTGCAGGAAACAGAGCAGAACTCAGAAACTACAGAAATTAATTTAAATCTAAATGAATTAAATGATATATATTTTTTAAATGTATTGAAATGTAAAAAATAATGAAAATGTATCAAAAATGTAGAAAATAATTCATTTAAAAAATGTTTTAAATGAATTGAAAAAGTAAAAATTGATTAATCTAATTAAATATATTTTTAATGAATTCAAAGTGTAAAAAATGATTAATTTAATAAAATATTTTTCTTATTAATTGAGAATTTAAAAATGAATGAATTATTTTTTTTGTTAATTGAAAATGTAAAACTTAATTTATTATTTTTTACATTTTACTAAAAACGTTAAATTTATTAAATATGTTGAGCAATCATTAAAAATGTAAAAATGTATTAATTTAATTAAATGTATTATAATGTAATATTTAATATATTTTATAACATTTTAAAAATTATTAAAAATGTAAAATTTAATTAAATATTTTTTAACAATTAATTAAAAATGTCAAAAGCAGTTACATTGATTTAACATAACATACAAATATTTTCTCTTTATGTCCCTCTCTGCCATTATAGCTTTTCAACACGGCAGATCGCCATGGAAACCCCCCTGGACTTACCCATCCTGTGTACGTACAGATAGGAAATTCTCCCTTATCGTTGTTTTAACACCAAATGAGGACACATTTAGATGATTTTAGCTAATAAAATACTTTAAACGCTACACAATGTCCCTCTAAGGAACCTTTTCCTGACTCTTTCCTCTCACCTCCTTCCAGTCCGTGTCTCTGGGTCTGCT